AGTAATAAAAGAGGTTCACTGAAGTGCAAGAGAATCCCACACCAAATGCTCCAAAGGTCTGACTGGGAGGCTAACTAGGGTGTATTGAAGAGGATTAGATGTCTTTTTTAAAAAACTGCTCATTATTTTCATGACAGTTTTTTAATCTCTAGAAAATGCCTGAAGCTTTAACTGAATCCCAGTTGGAAACTTCCACATCTCCAAATGATGTGCAAGGTCTTAGCAAGAACATGCTCATCACATGGACTGTGGAAATGAATGGCCAGCATTGGCTTAAAGGCCAAGCATAAATTAATATAAAAAAGGAGAAATGCCAAGGAAGTGACACCAAGAATCTATATGACCAGAAGCAACTGAAGATAGAACAAATGAGCTCAGCAGCTCATGACTCATTTGAGAATGTGTTAAATGTGAGGTACGGTGGATAACAGGGAGCTAGACATTAAACATGATCAGAAAACAAGGATAATCCCTTGTGGGAGAGAAGCAACAAAAGAAGAATACAGTTCTTAAAAATAGTTCTAATAGACCACAGGCCTTGGTGTTAAAGTCATAAGAAAAATCATTCAATCAAGAATTGGGTGGAAGAGGAGGAGAAGAAATAATATCAGACTGTTATAACACTGAGCCATAGCAGGGAGGTGATTTTGGAGGAGTGATCATTCGGCTGAAATAATCAGCAATGGTAAAATTAAATATAAATTTGAAAAGTAATCAAGASTATCATTTCAGTTGAAATCATAAACTGTTGGTACAAGAGCCAGAGTGAGGTGTTGCTCAGAACTTGGAAGAGAGGGAAATCAGGTACCCCGACATRAAAAAAACAAACAACAACAACAACAAAATCACCTTTCAGCCAGATGCAGTAACACACRCCTATAATCCCAGAGGCTCAGGAGGCTGAGACAGGARGATTGCAAATTCAAAGCCAGCATCAGCAAAAAGGTAAGGCACTTARCAACTCAGTGAGACCCTGTCTCTAAATAAAATACAAAATAGGGCAGACGATGTGGCTCAGTGGTCAAGCACCCCTGAGTTCAATCTCTGGTACCAAAAAAAAAAAAAAAATCTTTCAAAGGGCAGACTTACAGACACTATTGAGTACATGATAAAGGAAAAACTGTGTCAATCAATCCGAATGGAGTTATTCTCCTGACAAGGTGAGACCAATACTGGGGCACAGGCAGGCGTGGGAAAAGGGCGCCCTGAGACAGTGCCCTGTTGGCTACAGTTGCTTTGGTAACATCATCACTCTCATCCCTTTTGGAAAGGTACATAACAGGCTATTTTAGATGGAAGCCTTTTAAGTATTCAAATACCATCAGAGAGTAACTGGGCAGCCCATGAAGGTTGGCATAAAGGAAAGAATGTATAGCTTAAATCAATATGTGCTGCCCAGTTGAATGAAGGCTGTATTTATCTTTTAAATGGCTAAACTGTCATTATGCTATCATACATCATGAGTTGGGATAATGCAAAATCATCCCTGTGAATTGGACTTTCTTTGGTATGCTGAACATATCTTATTTCTGAGGCTATTAAACCTAAAAATAAAAACATAGATTCCAACCCAGTAAGTTCACCAAAATAATAAATATTGCTTTGGAGGGTAGGAGGAGTGTCTTCTGTGCTATAGATAATTTTTCTTCCTAAGTGGCAACCTTCTGTTAGCACTGAGTGCCTTCCTTCTTCAAATTTAACAGGCAGCAAGTAGAACACCCCTCCATGCACTCCAAGGAAGATAGGTGTTAAGAAGAACCTCTCTCTCTCTCTCTCTCTCTCTCTCTCTCTCTCTCTCTCTCTCTCTAAATTTCTGAGTTTAAGAAAGTATAAACTGTCACGAGCCATCCATGGGTTGGGTGTGGACTATGTTGCTCATCATAGCTTAGTGAAGGGATAAATCTGGCATTGGAAAAAAAAATAAATCTGGCATTGGGAACTTCCTGTAGCACTCTCCCCCCCACCTGATGCAGGTGAACCTCCTGCTCAAGCTCTGCCCAAAATCCCACACAGCAGCTGAGATGGGTGTGACCTGCCAAGATTTCAATCAACCTGCTGACTATAAGACATCACAAAGTGAGACTCCACCCTTGAAACCTTATCCCTGCCTTTGATGCACCCCTTTAAATAAACCTTTGAGCCACCTTTCCTTTGTCTAGTTCCAGCACCCATGTGGACTAGATTTATCAAGAGCTTCACTTTTGTAAATATATTTCTATTTGTGTTTTGTTCTTCACTAATTATCTGAGACTTTAAGTTTTAGGGCAGGAGGAAGACCCCCCAATAAGACAATGGACATAGCCCCCATTAATAGACAGATAAGCTTTCCAAAGTAATTATTTCCTAGTTGAATTATTCTACTGACAGAGAAATCAATGCACATCTGGATAATGCATGTTTATCCAAATTAATTAGAGGTCATGATTTTGAAAGCAAGACTTCCTGCTAAGATCACAGAGACATAAATAAATCATATACCACACACATACCCACAAGTAACCTAAGAACTTCAGAAATGCTACATAAAAAGACAACAATATTTTTAATATACATGTCACAGCTCATTCATGAAAAAGCACTTGCTGAAATCTCCGTGCAAAGGTTAGAGGATGACAAAGTAATGGCAACATGAAAAATACTCAGAGACTTGAAACATTCTGTAATGCAAGGGATGACTAGTAATGTTCACAGGTATCGCTACATCTTTGCTTCAAAGCGGTGGCCTTTTTTACAATACTAGTGGCAGTGTTGTCCTCTTCTCTAGCCTCTGATTAAGACTTGACTCTTTTCCTTTTGCAATAYTTGGTGTTTACTTTCTAACCATCCYGTATATAGTTTTTCTTATTGTTAATATCACTTCTAGTCCTTTCCAAAATCCCTTCCAGTGGCTTCTTAAGACAATCACAATTTTCAGATGACATGATGTAGTGCTTGAGAGCAATGGGGACAGGGAGGGAATATGGATAAATGAGACTAATATGGGCCTAACACTGTTGGAACCTGGAGAATGGGCACACGGGAGTTAACAGAGCTGTCTGTAATTTTCTACAATGGAAAATTCTAAAACTAAGATGTTCATGAGAGTCATATCATGTACCCTGTGACAATGATGTTGGTGAAATTAGGCTAGTCAGAARAAATAATATGTTCAATAATATGTTCCTAATTGGCTCAAGTGTAAGTGAAACCTAATCCATAATTCTAAATAGCATCTTGGGGTAACTTACCTAAAGACATGCACAATGATGTCAGGCTCTTTTATAAATACTCTTGACTTATGTCAAAAATAGCAACCATCTAGGCTACTGTAGCTATTTTCACTAGGTTAAAGTTTAGCTGTAAGCTTCTTAGCAATTGAGGTAAAGAGAAAGATACAGCAATAAAATTTATGCTCCAACAAAATAATATACCAAATAGATCTTTCCTGGCATTAAATTCTAATGTGTAAAGACATGTTAGTGTTTTTATCATCACACATATGGTGCTATATAACAACAGACAACACCTTACACATGGCTCCACGAGGAGTGCTTCTCATATGGTCAGCCCTTGAATGGATTCTCCCTATACACCCTCKGCTCAGTGAAGCCACAGCACCTCTACACCAGGCAGGACATGTGGCTCTTTGATATCAACCATCAGGGTAGAATCTGGACACACTCTTTAGAGGAGCAAATGGAAAGCATGCCCATGTTTCTTGAATGGACTTCTCTCATCAGGACTTTTGGTAGTGGTCTAATTTAAATCAATTTAGAATTATACTTGCTGGAATTACAGAAAGGTATGGTTTGGATTTGGGGGTATGAAGTTTTGAGATGACCTTCAAGTTATATACATCTATATAATTTTATACATTCAAATGTATATTAAAACTCTAATCRCTAGAGAGGTTAAACATTTTTCATACATTTGTTGACCATCTGCATTTCTAGCAATTAGAGAAATGCAAATTAAAACTGCACTGATATTTTACCTCACTCCAATCAGAAAGGCAATTATCAATATCCAATGCAAATAACAATAAATGTTGGTAAGGATGTGGGGGAAAGGGTACACATAGATTACTGATGGGACTGTAAATTGGTGCAATCACTCTGGAAAGCAGTATGGAGATTCCTCAAAAAACTAGGATTAGAACCACCATATGACCCAGTTATATCACTCCTCAGTATATAGCCAAAGGAATTAAAATCAGCATACTACAGTGACAGAACCACATTAATGTTCATAGCAGCTCAATTYACAATAGCTAAGTAATAGAACCAACCTAGGTGTCCTTCAACAGAAATATGGATAAAGAAATTGTGGTATAAAGAAATGTGGTGTATACACAATGGAATACTACTCAGCCATAAAGAAGAATGACTTTATGACATTTGCCAGTAAATGAATGGATCCGGAGATACTCAAGCTAAGTGAAATAAACCAAGCCTCCAAAACCAAAGATTGAATGTTCCCTTATGTGGATGCTAATCCATAACAAGGTGAGGGGAATAGAAGTTAATTGGASTACTAGAAAAAGGGGAATGAAAGGAAGAGAGGGGGAATAGGAATAGTAAAGATGGTGGAATGAATCTGACATAACTTTCCTATGGATATATATGAATATACCACAGTGAATCAACATTGTGTACATCCACAAAACTGAGACCCCAGTTAGAATAGAATATACTCCGTGGTTGTATAAATATGTCAAAATAGTTTCTACTGTCATGTGTGACTAAAAAGAACAAATTTTAAAAAACCTATCTCACTATGATAATTGAAAAGAAAGGAGGTCARGGACAAGGGTGTCAGGAGGCCTAAGTTCCAGTTATCTCTATTAGATACACAGCCTTGGGAAAGTGACAAAACAACTCTTCTGAGTTTTACTTCTTCATCTAAAAATTAGGTTATTCAACTAAAGGTTTTGGTGACTTTGAGGCACTAATGATCCTGCTCCTCTTTATGAATGTAAAAAAAATTTCAAGGTGTCATTTAGTCACTAAATTTTATCTCACCAGGATTATATCTGGATCACTGTCGCTGGTTTGAATTTCACTCAACACCTTACATTCCTGTGTGAGGTTGAGACTYTGTTTCCTTTTCATTTCCCCGGAAGAGGCCTATTGCAAAGTATTAACAGAAAAAGTACAAAGATTAGGATCAAGCAATGACACACATTAAGCCACCTTCACTCATGATTCATGACATCCCTCGGATATACAACAGAGACTCAATTTCTGATCTTTGTCCTTAAAATGTCTATAATTTAGAAAAACACATGTAAAGTTCACTAACAATACACAATAAAAAAAAAGAATGTCACAAGGCAAATCAGGTAAATATGAGTCACACAGACCATAGAGCTCAAAAGTGCATCAAAGTTGCTACAGTATTTTGCCAAGGCCTGCATGAATTACCATCATACACTGAATAACATCTTGTGTGGATGTACATTGTTTTTCAAACTTGGGTAGATGTTGCTAAGACAAATGAGATAAGCATTTATTTAAAGGTATCTACGATAGTTTTCTCTGACTAGGTAGCTATTAATCAATGGTTACTATCACACGGAATGTCTGTAGTCATTTTGTGACACTGAAAAAGTATTTTCATACTTGAAAAGGTTGGAAACTTATGATGCAGGAAAAGGTCTCCCTTAATTAGAATGGCTAGAGGTTGACTCTCAGCTTCTTGGGGTGGGGTGGGGGGATGTGTCTGATTAATATCTGAGTCTTCAGCACCTGCTTCAGAGAAAATGATTAATATGTTTGTTGAGTGAAGGGAACTTACAAACAGCCTTGGGGAAAAATTCAGAGGAATTACAAGGTGCAGATATAGGGAACAATAAGCATATTATTTTTATTGAAAGTTCTATTTTCATGAAATAGGGAGAAAGTCATTTCAGATAAATAAAGTGGAACCTTCTAAGAAAAGCAAGGGTGTGATAAAAACAATCCTCCAGGAAGAACAATAAGCTAATTAATGACTTGTCTTTTTTTCTGTATTTTTACTGGTGCATTATAATTATACATAATTGCAGGATTCCTTGTTACATTTTTGCCCATGCACATGAATGACTCCTCTTAATAGACCTGAACTGTAATACATACAAGCCAAAATATTAACTAATTCCAGAATCATTTTTATCAAACTTTTGAAGCACTTGGCAAGATTTACTTGGAGCACATATGTCTTCCTAATGTCATGCTGCTTAGACTCATACAGGAATTAAGTTTYGTTTCCTGCACCTCCTCTGTCTGTTAGGGGCAATACCTAGTGTGTTTATTGGACAGGAGATGAGCAAGTAATCCTCAAGTAATCCAAAATTGCTTCAATTGCAGTTTAACCTGATAAAATTAGCGTAAGTACTTATAAAGAATTTCATGGCCTCCTTATTTGTCCACCTCACTGCTTGATTTTCATAAGTATAGACTGTCTTCTGAAGTGATGTCAGCTTACCTTTCCAAGAATTGATATGCAAACGGTTTCTTCATCTCCCATTTACTAATCAATGCTCTCTAATATGGTTTCCAACCTCTTCATCAACAACAATTTTTTTCCTGAAATCATTCTTATTGCTTCTAAGTCATTAAGCCAAACAACCCTTTTTAGGTCTTTGGCCAGCTGAGTTGGTTCTCTAAAGGATTTAGCCCATTGGACCGCCTCTCCTTGAACTATTTTCCCCTCTWGGCTTCAATGATATAACAAATTCTTAATTCCTTTACTTCTCAGGTGATTTCCCCAAAACCATCTGTGCACATCTGTCCCCCAGTCCCCAAGTTTCTGACTAGTCCTTCTTTCTTCTTCCCCTTCAACCCCGCTCACACGCAGATACTTGTGTATCTGAGTACCTTATAAGTTCAGGCCTTCTAATAAAACCTCAGCTCTGACATCCAGATTCAAATATGTGATGTCTCAAACTAGGTAAGCTGAATTCATGCTCCTAGCTACAAGCCTTCAAGRATCCCTATTTTGATGGATGTAATTACTACCCAAGCAGGTCAAAGAGTTAAAAAAAAAAAAATCTATGATCATTTCTGCCATATTCCTGTGCTTCACCTTCTATACCCAATGTATCACCAAGATGGGGGGCAGTGTAACCACACCCACCACCATTGTTTTAGTCAGCTCTTTCAGTGCTGTGACTAAAAGATCTGATCAGAACAATTGTAGAGGAGGAAAAGTTCATTTAAGGGCCCATAGTTTCAGAGGTCTCAGTCCATAGACAGCTGGCTCCATTCCTCAGAGCCCAAAATGAGGCAGGACATCATGGTGGAAGAAATTGATAGAGGGAAGGAGCTCACATAATGATCAGGAAGCAGAGAGAGACTCACCAGACACAAATTTATATACATCAAGGGCACACCAACCAGGGACCACCTCTTCTAGTCACAATCTACCTGCCTTTGGTTACCACTCAGTTAATCCCCATCAGGGTATTAATTCACCAATTGGATTAAGGCTCTTATAATCCAGTCACTTGTCCTCTATACCTTCTTGCATTGTCTCACCCACGAGCTTTTCGGGGGACATTTCACATACAAAGCATAACAACCATCATCCTAGGCTGTGCTACTGTTATTGCTCTATTAAAGCCTCCTAGCTGCTCTGCCCTAATGACTCTTATTAAGCATAAATTTTAAGCAGAATACCATGCACTGGTTGTCAATCTCTTGCGAGTACTCTAAATACTTTCCATTTGGGAATTTCCAAAGGAAACAATGCAGTCAAGTTCTGGATGGAAAAAAAAATGTCTTACTTACGGAGAAAGGAGAGAGCAAAATTAGCTTCAGTAGTGTGCATCATTCCCCTGTGCCAGTAGGAACCCTGGTAGCCAAGGCAGGGAAATTGCCTACACAAATTCCTTTCTTGCTGCAGTAACCCCTTCTCCTCCCCAAGAAACATAAATATAGCAGTGGGGTTGATCTTGTGAAACAAACACTTAAACAGAGAGCATACATTGGGCTTGCAACAGAGAAGGAGATTCCCACACAAGGAGATAAGACTAAAGCACACTGTGTGGGCTCTTTATCTCTTGGTAAGGAAATGCCCCGGGCTTAAGGTCTATTATTAGGTGGCCAAGCAGGGGTCAAAAGACTGCATGRCATGTGAGTGCTTTTCTCAACACCTCTGCTCTCTAATAACCTTACTTCCTAACTAAGCCAAAGCAAACTTTTCTAAAGGAAAATATGGTAAAAAAAACCACTCCCCTGCATGAAGCTCCCCCGTGGTCTCCCACTGCTTTGGGAATCGATGCAAATCCTCTTTCTCAAGGCCCACAGGACTTGTATGGTTTCAGTTATTCCCTAAACATCTCCTACCACAGCCCCTTTCCATCTCTCTGTCCTGCCACTGCCTGTCTTAACACTTGGTATTCATCATGGTGTCCCTCTCTAACAAATGCTGTTTGCATTGTTTGGAAATGTTCTTCCTCTTTTGATACCAATTCAATTGGAATTCAATCCTAAAATCTTAGGAATCAATTTTTTTTTTTTTCTGGGAAGCTATCACTCTCCTGTCAGATACAGTTGAATCCCCCATTATTAGCACTTGTGCTATTGTGTCCTAAAAACTGCCACAAATAGGTATGGTGGCACATGCCTCTAGTCCCAGCTACCTGGGAGGCTGAGGTAAGAGGATCACTTGAGCCCAGCAGTTTGAGGCCAGGCTGGGACTTTATCTTGGGGGAGGCGCGGGGGGGGGGGGGATTCTGCTGCCACAGTTGCAATTTACATTTGTAATTCAAATAATTACTGAATTATTTGTCTTTATCCTCAGACTGTGTTTGATGAGGGTCAGAACTATATGTGGCTTTGTTTACAGTTGAACCCTCTTCCAAGGTGATACACTGAGTAGAACATAATAAGATTACATGTGTGTATAAATAGATACAGAAAGGTACACAAAGTATGTATATAAATATACATGTATATACACCATGGAAATGTATTTACTTTGTGTAGTTTTACATATGTGTATGTATATATGTACATCTAGACTAAGTTAATCTCTCTATCTAAAGTCCAAAGTGTGTTGTTTTAATACTTGGGCAAACTCTCTACTTCTCAATCTATTATGTGTTTTTAAAACATACAATATGTGTACAAAATAAGCTCCCAAATACCAAGATCTTTAAATACACAGCTAATGAGTTTTTCTGGAATTCAAGGTTAAAGGAGATAGGATTAAACCACCTTTTCTATTATAAACATGTAGTACTTTGAACACAGCAAGGACTGAGTAAATAAATACCTACTGACTGTATGAACCCACATATTCAAATATGACAGATAACTCAGAGTCACAGAAAAAATAAAATTCTATAGATAAACAAGTTTAKCTTGGCTCCTATAGTTTCAAGAAAGATGAAGGACCAAAAATTCCAAATTACAGGGAAATGGATTTCAAATATTTTAAGAGGATGAGCTACTCAAAAAGAGAATAAGAAAAGACTTCTTCAGGGGGTAAAGATTTTCACTAAAGATTTTCAAAAAGAGTCTGCACACTATTTGCCAAAAGACAGTACAAAGGAATGTGTGAGATATTAAAGTAACTATTGTTCAAAAATAATTCCTTTTGAAAGAACCATGCCCAAAATATCTTGTCTCCCACCGTGCCTAATGCTGTGTCTACCCAGGGCAGAAGCTCAGTAGATATTTTCTTATCAGATAAATTTACACTGTTTTCAGAGAGCCTACGGCAATTTGTGTGAACCTATGGCAATTCATGTGTCTGCCATGGTGGCCCATAGCCGCCCTTTATGGGTGAATTTAAATTCTGGAAACAGTTAAAAGGCATTAGAAGCCAAAATTGATAAACAAGGTAGATAACCTAGACAATAAATTTTGGCTTATGAAAGATACAAAATGAAAATTAGTAAGATAATGTTTATAATCTTTCAGCACTGAAAGATCACAGGGTAAATGCCTATTTGATTGTAGGCATTATTATTATTATAAACAGAATCTTCGGGGAAATTCTCAAAAGTGAATTAAATAATAGTAACATTGTAAGAATGAATGTATTGTGATTATTCTAAAAGAAACAAGCTCATGTAAAAACAGAGGAATTCTGGGGAGGTACAATTGTTAAAATCAGTAGCAACACAGTTGTAAATTGACCTTATAACCCTCTCTCCCTCCCTCCCTTCCCCCTCCCTCATTTCCTCTCTTCCCTCCCTCCCTTCCTCCCTCCCTCCCTCCCTTCCTTCCTACCTTCCTTCCTTTCAGATTGAACCCAGGGGCATTCTACCACAGAGCTACATTCCAGCTCTTTAAAAAATTTTTGATATAGAGTCTCTCTGGGTTGCCCAGGTTGGCCTCAAACCCGTAATCCTCCTTCCTAAATTCTTCAAGTTGCTGGGATTATAGGTCCATGCTATTGTACCTGGTAATACTGCATTTCCTAGAACCTAGACTACAGGATTAACAACCTATATGTTTTAGCTAAGCATTTTTCCTATAATGTTTTGAATGCAAAATCCTAAAACTTAAGGTTTGTTCTATATGAATATTTCTTTCTTAAATAGAGATCTACAATCCTTTGCCCACCCAGGCATTCTTTGGGGGCCTCCACTTGGCTGAGTTCTCCAGACATTGTGCTGATATTAACAACCTGACTTTTCTCCCAAAACAGAGAATACAGGAGGGAAAAAAAAGAAATTGGGACCCTGTCCAGAAATTGCAGATTGCAATGTATATCCTATAATTAGAGTGCTTTAAAAAAAATGTGAAAAAGAAGCAAAAACCTTTAGCTAMTGCTATTTACAGAACAAGTGAATTGTTATCCATTTTATGAATAAGAAAAAAAGAAAAAAATACCTGAGATCTCTCAGCTAGTTGGATGTTTTCTGGCACCGTATGTCTCTGCTGTAGGGGTTTCATCTTCTTTTGCACACTCTTTTTCATAGTTTTATAATCCGAAACATACTCCACATCAGAGTCTGTTTGTTCTGTGTTTCTTTTTTGGCTTCTTTGTCCTACTGAAAGCTCAATGGGTGAAAGAGATTCATGCTTCAAATCAACACCTGAAGGTCTGATTTTCTGAGTTTTGATATTTTCCTTGAAGAAAAAAAAAAGCATGTTTTTATTTTTTTGGTAGCCAGCTTCTTTATAATCAATTGCCATTTCCCTAATATTACAGTAGGTGATATTTCTTGTGGCTAACAAAGCATTTAAAAATCAAAGGTTTAGTCGACTTTAGCAGGTGTACACTGCTGTAATGAGTCATTAAGAATTTGACTCAGAAATAGCTGCAGAGCAGGGCTGAGCCAAGAGGTCTGATTTTGAGGCTGCAGAAGACCTCAGATGGAGAGCATACTACATTCTGACTTTCTTCCACAAAGATTTACTTGCTGTTGGCTCCCTGGTGCATGCAAGACGGTCCCCATCCCTATTCCATCTCACATCCTGCTTCTTGCACCTTCCTGGCTGTGGCTTCAASCAATGGAGGACACACTTGCTGAGAGAACTAGTCTACATTTGCCTGCTCCTGAGAGTTTGTTCTCTCCTATAAGAAGCCAAAAGTAACGAGTAGAAGACTAAAGAGTGTAGCACGAGGGACACTGTAGAGTTTCTAAGTGTGTCATTACCCACTACTGCTCAGTGCACCCTCTCCTCAACAGTGGGAGGGCTCAAGTAAGTGTTCAGCTCTCGTTTTCCTTCATATAAACCACCCACACTTGGTAAAGTCGCATTACAGTTGTATATACTACTTTGTTTATATTTAGGTAAAATCTTAAGGCATGAGATTATATTATTATTGTAGGTTTTTTATTAATATTGATCTAACTCTCAGACTATGATGATAATTTAGTGTAAGTAAAGTCAGTAGATTCTGAGCCTGGTTGTGCAATTTAGCTATGTAGTGATTTTAAGAAAATTCCTATAAAAGGAATTGTATTGTGAGTTTGTATTAAAACACTCTATCAGTTCCTGACTCCTTGATACAGAAGCAGAAGAAGCAAATAAAGAAAACAGAAAAAAAAAAAAGACACTCTGCAACAAGTTTCCAATTTTTAACTTGAATAGTGAAGAAACCAAAGACATAAATATTTGCATCTATCTATCTATTTAAAGTTTGGCTGGGGCTTCTCAATCTCATCACCTGCCTGTTTAGAAATATTAATAATTAAAATTGCAAAGAGTTTTTTTGTATATTTGTGTGTGTGTGTGTGTGTGTGTGTGGCTGATAAGACTAAGAGGCTCTAAGACTTTGTAAATGTTTTTTCTTAAAGAAGCTCTAAGGTTCAAAATGTTCTCTGAATTTTAAATTTTAGATAATAGGCATTTGAGAAATATGATACTATATGACATTTAGCAAATACAAGAAAGAACGTAGGAATTGTACATACAATATATACAACAAATTTCTAAACAAATGTACATCCATGGACTGAATCTCTCTTTCTCCTCCTCCCACCCCTGTGTGTCTCTCCCCCACCCCTCCCCACATGCACACGTACACACACAATCTTGGAAAGWAATACATTAAAATATTTAAAATGGTCATCATGCTCAAGCAGTAAAATTATTGGTGACTTAAATTTTGTTTATGATTTATTTTGTAAGTTTCCCCTAATAAACAGATATCACTCTTAAAAAAAAAAAACAAACAATGGCATTAAATCTAAGTGCTTCACTCTCTGAATCTCATAACCCATAACATTTGGCCCTTGATAAGACTCATTTTTCACAAGGAAAATATGACAAAAAGTGGCTCTCACCTACTTTAAGTACTCACCTTAAGTGTTGAAGTAAGGCAGGTGGGAGTGAACTCAGCAATCCTACTCGSTGGTATTAATCTAAGCTTTTATGGGGGAAAAATCAATAAGACAGATTTAAGTAAAAATAACTTTCAATTGGCTTATTATAGTAATTCAGTATTTCTAATTCGTGAAAGAAGTGTCAAGATACACACCCCACCTGTAACACTTCAGATGTACTGCAACGCTGTCCTGATTAGTAATGACTATTATAAAACAATCAGATGGTTTGTTCAAACATTGAAGGTTAAATGTCTTGTGAGTCACTTTGGGGTATCTGTGTGAAACTCTCCCTCTGTCCAGCCTCTGCATCCCTTGTCTTCCCTCTGTTGAGACCCTCTGTTCCCCACCTGTAGGACCCAGGGTCTGTAGTGACTCCTGACCTCTGACAGCGGCTCTCTCTGGCTCAGAGATCTGTATCTGAGATCCAATGGACTCCAGAGGGTAAACTGACTCTACCTGCTTTCCTAATAACAGAAAAGCTGCTGTATCTCCAACATCCATTGTTTGCCCTGTAATCTGAAACACAGCTAGGGAACAGGCAGGTAGTTGACCTTTCCAAAAAAGGAACTCCTTTTAAATATTTGGATGTGATCATCATGGCCCTAGGATGATCAGATATTAATAAAACACACAGTAGGTCGTTTAGTAGTAGTGCAGACCCTGCCCTCTGGGCCCAGGTCCTCTGCTCTTGTGAGATTCTAGTTAGGTGTCTGCTTGTACTTCCTTTCTGACATGCCCCTGGTCCTTTCCTGGGCCACAGACTTCATCGTGGTGTCCAGCTCCATGTCCAGATTCTCCAGGAGAGACCATTGACCTCCTCTTGTAAGTACCTGACCTCATAAATTGGAGTCCTAGTTCTAATTAAGGTTTGGATATGCTCTGTTGAAAAATTTTCTGATGCAGTTTGCCTGTATAGATTTTGAAATGGTGTCTTTTTCTGTGTTCTTAGATTCAAATGCCTCTTRGTGGTACCTTACACCTACAGGTAGCTTCAAGGCAATACTTCCAAACTGAATTCATTCTATCACCTCTGCATATGCACTCACYCCAATCAGTACTTCCTAATTTGACTTCCCTCTTGATTAACAGCATTACCAAACACTGAGACAACCACACTAGAGGCCCCAGTTTGTCTTGATTCATCAAGACAACACCCCATACCTAAATCAGTGTATTTCGGCACTTAAGTCTTTTATAAATTCAAAATCCTTCAGTAACCTCAAGTCAACACCCTTTCTAAAGGCCTATCACCTCCTTTCCTGCTTCCAGTTCAGTGATTTCTCTAGCCCCATGCCACAACCATTTTATATACCATGTTATTCCTTTCATTAAAATAAAGAGGATGAGAGAGAAGATGGAGAATGGCGGAGAAGAGCAGCATTCTCAAAATTGGATGCATGTTATTAGAATCATCTGATAAGCCTTTAAAAAAGAAAAACGATGCCATGTCCTTACAATCAGAAACTTTCATTTAATTATGTGGGGTGGKGCCTGGCTCAGTCCTTTCACATGTTCTCCAAAGGATTCTAATGTACAGTCGGGATGGAGTACCACAAGCCTGGAGGATAGAGACTTACTCTATAGTACAAGGAATGGCATACACAGTCAGTGCAGGGTTACTGAGTGGAACTAACAGCACCTGGCATAACACACGAACTGTTTTCAAACAGTTGCAGGTGGGCTTTTTCGAAATCCTCTTCTGAGTTATCYCCCATCCACCTCCACCATGTTGCCCTCATGCACTGAAGGCCCAATTACATTTTYACAGCCCACTTTCATGCTGTCCTACCTCTGGATAATCTATTTCCTCGTCCTGGGTTGGCCTTAACAAGCCTGTCCTCTTGCCAAATTCCACTCGCTCTTTAAATCTCAGTTTAAAAATTATCCACCCCAAGTACTTACCCCAGTTGCCCAAGAGAGAATTAACTGTTTATCATCTATGCCCTCATGCCATTTTTCCTTTTTAGATGTTTATGTAGATAACATATTTACATTGGGACAACATTTTAAAAGTACATTAAAAAGAAATTTCCTTACCACTGTGTTTTGCATTTACCCAGCTCATAGTCCACCAACACATAACCACTGCTACCACTTTCTAGTTTATCTTTCCAGAGATTTGTTTATATATTATATACTTATATGTGTACTTACATGCAAATTTCCCCACTTTGGGGGTAGGGAAAAATGATAGTGTATTATGTACACAGTCCACACCCTACTTTTTCACTTAAAGATATWTCCTAGCATTCTTTCTCTTTTAGTACTTATAGAGCTTCTTCATACCCTTTGTTATGGCTTAGATATAAGGTGTCCTCCCAAAACTCAAGTGTGAGACAATGCAAGAGGGTTCAGAGGTGAAACGATTGGGTTATGAGAGCCTTAACACAATCAGTGAACTAATCCACTTGAAYGGATTAGCTGGGTGGTAATGATAGATTACATTTTCCTTTTTTTATTTTTCCTAATGACTATACATTTTTCTTCCACTGTCTGATCAGATAATATGATACTTCTCAGTGTTTACCAGTACTAAAATTTATGTTTAAGTGGTCTAAATGAGAATCTTTAAGTTATAAAACCCAAATGGATTTAGCACAAAGCCCAGATATTAATAGTAAAAACATATTTGCATACTTAACTAAATAATGCAGCAGAACGGAAGACAACAGACCAAAGCAAAAATTTTTTTTAAAAAGTTTTTTTAAAATTGAAACACCTTCTGTTGACATAGGACATAGGAATACATATACAATTAGTGCACTAAAATAAATTTGCATGTTAAGTGTAGTGTATGAAGTTGACCTTAATTAAAAAAAAAGTTAAGTATTAAGAACTATGTAATATTTTGAAAGACCAATAAAAAAAAAATCTAAAAAAAAAAAAAAAAAAAAAGTTAAAAAGTTTACCTAAAAATTTGCTCTTTGATTCCAATTAGAAATGGAGTTTTCGTCTAAAGTATATTTCTGCTAATAGATGATGATATTCAGCATCGGTTTGGGGGTTGGCCTATAATTTTTAACATGCAGTTTTTTTAAAAAAAAATCACATTTTTAAATTTGAGGAATGCATTTTTACATCTTTGATTGCATTTTGCAAAATAGAAATCTGTCAACAGTTAATCTACTTCAAATTCTGTCTCAGTTACTTAATGAGTAGCTGTTTACTAATGATAGTGTCTTTTTATCATCATCATCATCTTTTCAGATATCAAAAAAGAATAATTACCCTGGAAATTTTGCAAATATCACTGTTATTTTTAAATGACTGTCATAAACTCTTTCAACAAAACTATTACATTTCTTTACAGGTTCAAAAAGACCTATAAATCTCAAACTGAATCAGTGAAAGCTGCATAAACTGAACTGTCTCTGGAGCAGGAAAAACTGAGGAATCCTTTAGCCAGGAATGAAAGGGAAATATCTGTGGTGAACGATTTAGAGAAAGAGGCAGAAATCCGGATTTTGAAATTGCAGCTCTAGAGGTCTTTGTTCAGTCCATGTGGTGTAGATCCAGGAATCTGCTTTTCTACAAACATGTGAAGTTGTTCTTAAACAGATGGTCCAATAATCTTGGATTCACAGCCTTGGAGATTCTCCTTTCTAATTCTATATCCATGCTGTGTGGGACTAGAGAGAGAATACTTTTGTGTTTCTGCAGTTAATACTTTCTGATTCCATTTTACTGAACTTGAGACCTGGGCTAAAAGGAGTGAATCCTGGAACTTAATGCATGACTGATTATCAGTGAGACAGCACCTGGGGGACTTCCCTGGGGACAGTGGTCTCTGGAGGGTGTGCTTACATTCTAAGGGAGGGATGGGATCTGGGACCATAGAGATGCACCTTTRCTGTAAAGCTGCAGAAGCTGGTCTTATCTCACCCTGGAAAAACTTATTTTTACTCCAAATAATAAGAGTAAAAGCCCAGGCTCCTTCCCAAAGAGCAAAATAGTGTGAGGACAATGGCTGCCACTGTCCTATATAATTGCCCAGGTTCAATTTTCTTTTTCTTTCAGAATTCCTTGCCTATAATACAAACTCCAGTACATATGCAGGAGAACATCTGGTTTTACTTCCATGCATCCTTCACCCTAGAGGTAAGAACTAGAGCAAAGGGGAATCCACATAATTATGTACTATAATTAAATAACAATCTGCCCYGCTCCATTATTCTCACATTTGCATTCAAAATAATACTAATAACTATAGATATTTTTAAAATAATAGCTTAGGATAGGAGATGTGCAACCAGTGCTCATAGGTTCTAAAATTTGGGTGGGTCCTTGCAAGTGTCTAGCCTAATCCTCTTTTTTTCTACAGAGCTGGGGGTGGGGGTGATTTAATGATGGAGGACTAGACACTTTAGACAGACCTGAGGTCACTCAACTTATACACTACACAGTCAGGACCTGAAACCAGGTACCCTGACACCAGGCCAATGCTGTCTCTGCCTTCTGCAACTTCTTCCTCCTTCAACGAGCACCTGAACATTACTCCTTCTGCACAGCTTTCCAAAGTGACCACTCTGCTCTCCAAATCTGCCTACTATTCACAGAGCTCCTCAAAAAAAAATTATGATTAGTATTAGCTGTTTTCAATTTTCCCTATCCAGAAAAAGTATCAATCTGAAGTGAACAAAGAAGAACACAGTAGTTTAAACAGCTKCGAATTAAAATTAATCATATGTGTAAAATCTACCTTTATTCCTAGTTGTTTATGTGATTTTTTCCAGAGAGGAAATAGAGTTTAGTGCAGGAGGGCTGGGTCTGGAGTCAGAGTGCACTTGTTGAAATCAGGGCTCTGCAGTTCCTAACTGTGTCTTTGGCAAATTACTTCCCTGTGTCTCAGCTTCCTCATTTATAAAACAGGAATCAAAYAACCATACGACCATCATCAGGATAAAATAAGTCAGTACATTTAGAGCACCTTTTACAGGGTCACATTCTAAGTGCTAGTATTTAATGCTTCCATTCAGCCTTCTCATTTAAGCTCCTCCATCTATGTGACATGTCGAGTGATAATAATCATTCAGGTAGTTTTAAAATTCACCAAAAATATACAGAATTATGGAAATCTTGAGGGAGAAACTGGAAAGAAGAAAGGGAATTAGAATTACAATAAGTCTTTGCTTTGTACATTAAAATATCCCATKGCAATCAAATTGTATTGCATATTTAGAAACAAATGGCAGATGCAACATGAAGCAAATGAAGCTAAACTTCAGTACCCCTCCCCTAGATGAACTTCTTTCATGATCCTAGCACAACTTTGTATTTATAATGCTATGTTTTCTTTTTTTAAAAAATAGTGGTCCCCAAGATGATATAAAAGGCTACAAAAACCAGACTTAGATTTGCCCTGGTTCTGAAGTATTTAAACGATACTTAGTTATCTTCAAATGCTAGGAATTATTAACAGTGGTCTTAACTCATATCTAGAGGGCCTTCTTGAGATTCTATTGAA